GTCTGTCCGTCCGTGCTGTTTATATATTTGTATATGTATATAATATAAAATAATAAAATATACGCGTGTGCGCGTGTGTGTGTGCGTGTATGCGTATGTGCATACGTACATGCACGTGTGAGTGAGCGAACGAACGAATGGACGGACGGACGGACGGACGGACGGACGAGCGAAAGGGACGAGCGCGCACCTACACACACACACGCACGCACGCATGCACGCTCGCTACATTGCTGTAGCGGCCCTTACTCTACTTACCTTACGCATTGCGCTCGCTCTCTCTCTCTCCTCGCTTTGTGTTAGCGATGGCGGTGTCGGTGGCGGAGGCGGTATAACTTCCGTCGCTATCGACGCTGTCGTCATCGTCGGTGGCATCGGTGCCAGAGACGGCGGCGTCATCCCCCTTGCTGTCGTCATCGTCGGTGGCATCGGTGCCAGAGACGGCGGCGTCATCCCCCTTGCTGTCGTCATTGTCGGTGGCATCGGTGCCAGAGACGGCGGCGTCATTCTCCTTGCTGTCATCATCGTCGGTGGCATCGGTGCCAGAGACGGCGGCGTCATCCCCGTTGCTATCGTCGTCGTCGGTGGAATCGGTGTCGATGGCGGAGGCGGAATTATCGCTTTTGCTGTCGTTGTCGATGGCGGAGGCGGAGGCGAAGGCGGCGGCGGCATTACCGCCGTTGCTGTCGTCGTCAATGGGGTCAATGGCGGCAGCTTGCTCGCCACACCTCCCTCACTTTTGGCTGAAATAAAAAAAAATAAAATTACTAAATTTCTAATAAATTATATATAAATAAAGTTTATCCAATCAGACCGTTCTTTACAAAGATATACATTCGTGAGCCACGTGCCTCTATATTATATTTCGAAGCGCTCGCTTCACGGTAGTATATCCGTTCATAAAACAGTACTAATTGTAAGTAACGCGTTACTTGTAACGCCGTTACCATTACCGTTATCTTTTTATAGTAACGATTTGTTAATGACATGACGTTTTTCCATAATGGTCAGTCTACAATGAGTCGTTAGTCGTTAGTCAGATGTCGGAAGAGACTCGGAAAAAGTTATAAACGTATCGTAAGGCGATCGGAAGTCTGTAATCGGCAATCATAAGCGATTGGCCAAATGCCATCTCTTATGATCACCGATCACAGGCCTCCGATTGCCTTACGATACGTTTATAACTATTTCTTCCGACATCTGACTAACGACTAACGACTCATTGTAGACTGGCCATAACGGTAATGGTCACGACGTTACAAGTAACGCGTTACTTCCTGTTCGAGATTCCCTTAACGTTGCGCCGTCCGATCAGATGGCAGCATCGATCGGGTAACGACGCTTGATCACCGCGGCAGCTTGCGCCCGCACGGGCGCGCTAGTCGCCACCGTCTTCCTCGCGATCGAGGCAATTGTGCAAATGGCCGCGCGGTGACTAGACGCATAACGTGTGCTCTATACGTTTCGATTAGTGACTTTGGTTAATCGTGTACATCGCAGTGCCCACGCTGTTTAGACTTCTCATTTAAACTGTAAAATAGACTGCTCATCAACTCTGGTGCCTCAACACAACGACTCAAGCTCACACGTGCGCAAGTGCCGACCGCCACGTGTCTCACCGGCTCACGGGCGACTCACCACACTAGAAGGGCAATTCATATAATTGTCGCTCGACTTCAACGATCAGATAAAGACGTCTCATTTGTACACCGCTCATCAATTCTCAGGTCAGACTGTAACAATCTCGATACATTAAAGACGGCTCAGACTGTGGTCTGAGTTGCACAAAAAATAAAGTGCATATTCAGTTAACACCTTTCCACGCGCGTCCCTCTCATCCCGCTTCCATCGCCGGGATTAATCAGCGATTTCGCGAACACTTCCCAACCCTGCATTTATAATATATGTATAAATTATACATATATTATAAATGTATAATATAAATGTAACACTTACATTTACGATATGTCCGCCGTGATTTGTCCATATCCGCGGCACCAAGAGTCCCCGCCGAACGAATTTCACGTTCCCGACGGCCGTCGTCGCGACTGCTCTCTCTCTCCCTCTCTCTCTCTCTCTCTCTCTCTCTCTCT